CTCTCTCTCTCTCTCTCTCTCCCCCCCTCTCCTTTTCTTTCTCTCTCATCGATAACTTTCTATTATCAAAGATCGTTCATAACAAGATAGTTCACTCGGCCAAAAAAGTCTCCGTGGAAGTCCGCGCACTGGTTCGGATGGCGCTGCAGTTTTTGTTTTGAAGCTCTCTTTCGTTTCTCCAGAAGAAGAAGAAGAACAGCAAAGGTTGTTGGTTTCACTTTTATTGTTTTTCACACAAGTGGGGTAACTCTGTTCGCAAAGTCCGCACTTTTTCGAAGAGGGCGCCACCGGATTTTGAGTGTCAACATGGACTCGTGACTCAGCCTTGTTGTGATTGGCTGCAAACCACCCGATCGCGGGACTCGCAGGTCTGAAAACAAATGCGTTTGTTTTTGCAGGTCACCGACCGAGTCGATCCATTAATCCCACGATGGCCGCTTTGTGCCCTCAATTTGGCTAGCCTCCACTACCAAATCGACCCGACCCGACCCGACCCGATCGCGCTAGTGGGCACCCCTTATCACAGTTGCACTGAACCTTAAGAGATAACACTTAAAGATTGAGAGACATTGCTCCAACCGTAAAGACTGCAGAACTCTCAGGTTTCCTTGGGCTCAACTTTTCTGGGATTCTCTGGCGTTATCTTTTAATTACTTTTTTCAAAGCTGTCTTGATTATTATTATTTTTAAGGCGGGGGACGAGGTGGTAAAAGCCATGACCTTGTTTGAGATTTCTTTTTCTTTTTCTTTTTTTCTTTTTATATTTTTCCTTTCATTTTTTTTTCTTGTTGTTCTGTTGTTCACCATTTGACTATATGCTAAAAACGTTGTTAATAATTGGATATAATTATGTAACTTGGCTATATAGCACCTCACCCTATACAATTAAAACGTCTGTGAATTACAGTTAATTGTAGAATTAGAAATATTCGTTTTCAGAACGAAGAAATGAAACAACGTCTAATGCAACGCCATGTGGAACCAACGCCCCTGTAAACAAACCTGCCCTAGCTTTGTCTATATCTCTTTTTTCTTAACCCTATGTATACGGCCTATCAGTTTAGCTTGCTCGCGGCATCACTTAGTTGTTTACAGTCTTGGTAAAAATCAACCAAATGTGAGCCAATCTTATTTATCTGTTACCAAGCTGTATGTTTACTGCTTGGACGATTCAATTCTATTCTTTTTGGTGTTATCTATTATCTATTTGTGGTGGCCGAAATCTGCTATTCAAAAGGCTTTTTAGTGGCTGCATCGATCGACATGCGGTTTTCGCCAAAAAATTCTTTAAAATATTCTCCAGAGCATGGCGCCCTTGGTTTTTTCAGTTTCGAGACAGTTTTGCTGCAAAAAGCTAAATTTCTTTATTTCGCCGATCGCTTTAGTAGGCCAACGCTTCCGTCTCGGTAATTTTAGAAAATCCGGAAGTGATATTTCGCTAGGCGCGTTTTGTTTTGAGAGTATAGATCTAGACCTTCTAATTTTTTGCATCTCTCAAGATTTATTGCCCCATTCCAGTAGAATGTGAATATAGTAGGCCAATGAATTTTAGTTGATATTAAAGCACCGGTCATTCCTTTCATCGAAAGGGGGCCCAGCTAGTTTTATATATATATATATATATATATATATATATATATATATATATATATATATATATATATATATATATATATATATAGTTTCAATAGGAGCGGAATAGTATAGGTAAGTTTGTAACGATAAAAAATTGGTTGCGTACAAAGGAGAAATAGTCCTGTATCATAATCATCATCAAGTAAGTGCCATATCTGCGACAGATGCTCTTAAAAAGCTACATTACCGGTACCCTGACCTTTCCCCTTTACCCATCTGTTTAGGTTCTCCAACAAAGTTGCTCTGGGCGTACCCCTGCCTCGTTTGCCTTAGATTTTGCTATTGAGAGCGAGATGTTCAAGACCTTTATGTCTGTTCAGGTGTCCCAAAAATTGTAACTGTCTTTACCTGATTGTTTTTATCTGTGACTGTCCCACTTGGGCTTCTTCAAGTACACACTACCTCATTTGATTTCCTTTCCTTCCAAGATATTCTCGGCAGTCTCCTAAGAAGCCACCATATAGTTGCTTTTATTTTATTTTCACTATCTTTAGTCTTCCTCATACTAAGAGTTAAATAGTCGTTGTCGTATCGAAGTGGTTTAGGATTTTTTCTCTGTAAGTGGCCATACCTACGGAACATCGCGCCCGCGCCGACCACAGATATCACCTTCACCTTAACTCTCTGTTTGAACCGGTGCCGGTTTGTGTATTTGCTTGTTCATCTGTTTGTTTGTTTGTTTTGTCGTTGGTTGGTTGGGTGGTTGGTTGGTTGGTTGGTTGGTGTTTGAGTGTATGTTTTGTTGTGTTTCTTTTGTGGGGGTGGGGGGGGGGTGAAAGGACGAGTCGGAACACCGGTATTACCCATGCTCTCTCCCTCTCCCCCTTCCTTTATTGTTCCCACATTTAATTCTTTCTGTGCTGCAAACTGATACATCAATGCTTTTCTCTACGCCGTTTCATACGCGTTGATAATAAATTATTTATTAGACAAAAAGTGTTAAGTGGCGCGAAGAAGGGCATATTATAATTGTGTATAGCCGTACTTCAATCAAGAACTTAAGAGAAGTGACAGGCAGAATACTTTACATGTACTCCTATCCACTAAACCTCTCATCAATCATCCTCCCCAGTTCATGTGTGGTTGGCGGGCGCTCTGGAGCGGTTTGCTACTTCTTTCCTATGAAATACAATTGTATATCGTCCTCATCTCTCCTCCTTCTCTTCTTTATTTGCTACTCTCTAATAACGCCTCTAATCTCCGGTACTTGTATGACCTAATTGTGTTTCAAGTGCCGTAAATTCTTTTCAAAACTAAAACTAAAACCAAACTCCCCAGTTCGTGGGCTGTGACGGATACCTTGGCTCCCGGGTGGAGGAGGACAACTGCCGGGTGTGTGCGGGAGACAACTCCACATGCAAGACGATCTCTGGTCTCTTTGACAAGCCTTTGCCAAAAGGAGGTACTGCCCCTTTATACTATATTTCTCATACATTATTATAGTAATGAATTGAAGATCTGATCTTTTCACATTCCCATCAATACATCTACAACTGCAAGATAATCTCTTCAACAAGCCCTTGCCCATATAAGGAGGTACTGTCCCTTGATACTTCTCACATATTCTTCTTCTACAGGTGTCTGGAGTAGACATTGATGACTATGGTACCCCATTCTATCCTGCTGTCTGTCTTTTTGATCAGCTCAGTTGTTATCTTTGTGTTGTTCGTTTCAAAGCTGTTCAGACCACCTTTGTATGTTGTTTTTTTGCCTTCCTCTTCTCTTTTCTCTCTATCTTTCCACATAGCAGCAGTTTCTCTAGTCCATTTGACTGCACACATTACTGTAGCAATAAATTGAAGATCTAAATCTGTTTTACGTTCCCATTGATACAACTCCGCCTGCAAGACAATCTCTGGTCTGTTCAACAAGCCCTTGCCTAAAGTAGGTACTGTCCTTTGATACTTCTTTCTCTTTCTTGTTATACATGTAAAATAAATATTATGTAATCTTTTTTACGTCCCGATCGAGCCAATTCAGATCAGCAGGACAATCTCTGGGCTTCTTCGGCGAGCCTTTGTCCAAAAGAAGCACCCATCCTTTGATACATCTTACCTTTTCTTTCTCTCTTTCTTGGCGCTCTCCGTCTACTGCAGGATGTCGCATTCCAACAATGACCTCCATTCTGTTTTATCAGCTGTTTCCGTGGCCATGTTGTTTCCGTCAGCTCTCTGATATTATCCTGCCACCTTCTTTCTAGTTTTCTTCTTGATTGATTGATTGAGTTGGTGTTTTACGGCACTACGGCACTACCGACTCAATTTTGGTTATGTAAGTGCCACTTCTTCTTGAATACTCCATACTTATTACTGTAATGCACAATGTAATAATTTAAAACAATTAAATATTTATTACATGAGTTGTGGTGGTAGATCATGATTTATCCTACGAGTGAAATTGACAAGTTGTAATCATGAGTTTCAACGAGTTATGTACGATCATTGACTTTGCTTACAAAAGGTTAGAAGGCGAATGTAGTGCGCGGAGTAATTTATGCAATTTTTTTATATTTAACGTTTGAGATATATCATCAGCTAATGTAAAGATTTATTTTACCGGAAGTGCAACGCTAAAACAACTCCAAGTATGGTATAAAATGTAATTTTTACGTCCCCATTGACACAAATAATTCTGATCCGCAAAACGATCTCTGTTCTGGTCATGTTAGACAAACCGTTGCTCAAAGGAGGTAACTTCACCATGATACTTCTTAGACATTTTTATAATGATAAATTATAATCTTTTTACGTCCTCATCGACGCAATAATCCTAATAATCACTTGGTTACTGCTCCGACCCTGCCTGTCAGGGCCTACCCAGACTGAGGGGGATACAACTTCTCAAAAGACAGACGGAGAGACTTCGTACTTAATCCTTCTCCTCTCCGGAATCTAACCCACGTCTTTTGCATGCATCAATTAAGAACATAACTGTTTTACCATAAACGTCTGCCTTCCATATTACCGTACTGTATTACAAAAAAATGTATTTGTTTTTGTGTTTTATTTGTTTTTGCATGTATATATAATAATATACTTATTGTTGTTGCTGTATTGTCGTTGTTGTTGTTATTGTTGTTGCTGTTGTTGTTTTTGTCGTTTTTGTTATTGTTTACGTTGTTTTGGGCAGCAGCAGCACCGTGAACAACAAGATTTAAAAAGTGACAAGTTCAAATATAATTCACCTTCTTGAAGATTCTCTCAATAACAACTTTCGATTCATTTTCAACAGCCTGTTTTAGATTTGACAAAAGTTTTAACTATAGGCACATCAAGTGAAAATAACATTACCCAATCCTACTGAAAACATCTAAGTTTAACCATGAGTTACGGTATTTCCGTAATCTGGATTCTGTGCAAGTTAGATGGGATCCATTGACCTCTTTACTGTCAAGCCTACTTTATAAAATGTAACAAACAGCTCAAAAGAGCACTGGGTTAGGCAGTAGAAGGGTTAACTAAAATGTTTGTCAAAATGTGCAGAGACAAGATGTTTAATGTTGAAAGCAGACCAGCCGACAATTTTACAGTGGCCACTTTCTGTCGGGTTTACTGTGTGTGTACATGCAAAAATTCGACTGTTGAGATATATCACCTGGTGTAAGCTGGATAATTTAATGCAAACTAGAATTCTGACTCCCTGTCGAGGTAACCCTACCCTTTAAGTTTAGGCGGTCTGTGCAGCGTAAAAATAACTTTATTCTCTCACTTTATCGGTTCGAGGGCTATAATGAACCGGCAATATACAGGAGACCTTGGCTTAGTGCGGATTTGTTTGTTTGTTGTTGGGGGTTTTTTGGAGGGGTGGGTTGTTTTTGTTTTTTTAAAGGGGGGTTATATTTTCGTTTTGCGTGTGTGTGTGTGTGTGTGTGTGTGTGTGTGTGTGTGTGTGTGTGTGTGTGTGTGTGTTTGTGGGTATGTATGTAGTTGTGTGTGTGTGTGTGTGTGTGTGTGTGTGTGTGTGTGTGTGTGTGTGTGTGTGTGTGTGTGTGTGTGTAAAGTTCATATTTGCTTGAAAAAAAAGTAGACTCTAATTGTAAATATCATCTAGACTATTTTTTCTTGCATTGTATGGCAAGTGTTTTGTGACTTTTCTTTTCTTAACTCAAAGAGAGTAGTGTGCTTTGCATCTTCTAACCTATCAAACATCAGTCGTCCTTATCTGTTTTCCTTTTTTTTCTCTCCGTATGTTACACTCTTGTGACACTTCTAACGGTCGGCACTTTTATTACCAATTCAGGTTGCCCCTTCCATTAAACTCTTAGTTTAGTTTGTTTTTGTAAGTGTTTTACGACCCTTGCAACACAAATAGGTCAGATAAATAATAATATTTGCATTTATATAGCGCATATCCATGCTCAAGAGCTTGCTCTATGCGCTTTACAACTATTATTACCCCAGCAGACCCTCTGAGAACACTCAGAAACATTCTCAGCTTCCGCGGAAGCATACAGTGCAAGCTGCGGATTTCACACTATCAAACTCACAAGATCTTTCACCGTCTATAGCTGGGTACCCATTTCCACCTGGGTGAAGTGAGG